CATCCCCACCACCCCCCCCCCCACCCCCCCCATCGGTCCCGTCCCCATCCCCGTCACCTCCACCACCATCCCCACCATCGGCCCCGTGCCCATCCTCATCCCCGTCACCTCCACCACCATCCCCACCATCAGCCCCATCCCCATCCTCATCCCGTCACCTCCGCCACCATCCCCACCATCAGCCCTGTCCCCATCCTTGTCACCTCCACCACCATCCCTACCATCAACCCTATCTTCATCCCCACAATCATCCCCATCACCGTCACCTCCACCACCATCTCCACCATCAGCCCTGTCTTCATCCCCACCATCAGCCCTGCCTTCATCCCCAACATCGTCCCCATCCTCATCCTTGTCACCTCCACCACCATCCCCACCATCGGCCCTGTCCCCGTCCCCACCATCATCCTCACCCCCGTCACCTCCACCACCATCCCCACCATCAACCCTGTCTTCATGCCCACCATCATCCCCATCACTGTCACCTCCACCATCCCCACCTTCGGCCCTGTCCCCGTCCCCACCATCGTCCCCAGCCCCATCCTCATCCCCGTCACCTCCACCACCATCCCCACCATCATCCCCTGCCCTGTCCCCATCCCCATCATCATCCCCACCATCGTCCCCATCCCTGTCCTCGTCCCCATCCCATCCCCATCCCAAAGTTCAACCCCATCGTCTATGTTCCCAACCCTGTCCCCATCCTTGTCCCCATCTCCGTCCCCAACTGCAGTCCCATCATCTCTGTCCCCATCCCCGTCCCCATCATCGTCCCCATCTCCATGTTCAATCCCATCATCTCTGTCCCCATCCTTGTCCCCATCCTTGTCCCCGTCCCATCCTTGTCTCCATCTTCAACCCCACCATCTCTGTCCCCATCCCCATCCCATCCTTGTCCCCAACTGCAATCCCATCATCTCTGTCCCCAGCCCTGTCCCCATCCTTGTCCCTGTCCCCATCTTCAACCCCATCATCTATGTCCCTGTCCCCATCCTTGTCTCCATCTCCGTCCCCATCTTCAGCCCCATCATCTCTGTCCCCATCCCCATCTTCAGCCCCACCATCTCTGTCCCCAACCCTGTCCCCATCTCATCCTTGTCCCCATCTTCAACCCCATCATCTATGTCCCCATCCCTGTCCCATCCTTGTCTCCATCGCCATCTTCAGCCCCATCATCTCTGTCCGTGTCCCTGTCCCTATCCTTGTCCCCATCCCCATCTTCAACCCCATCATCTCTGTTCCCAACCCTGTCCCCATCCTTGTCCCCATCCCCATCTTCAACCCCATCATCTCTGTTCCCAACCCTGTCCCCATCCTTGTCCCCATCCCATCCTTGTCCCCATCTTCAGCCCCATCATCTCTGTCCGTGTCCCTGTCCCTATCCTTGTCCCCATCCCCATCTTCAACCCCATCATCTCTGTTCCCAACCCTGTCCCCATCCTTGTCCCCATCCCATCCTTGTCCCCATCTTCAACCCCACCATCTCTGTCCCCATCCTTGTCCCCTTCCCCTTTCCCATCCCCATCCCATCCTTGTCCCCATCTTCAACCCCACCATCTCTGTCCCCATCCTTGTCCCCATCCCATCCTTGTCCCCATCTTCAGCCCCATCATCTCTGTCCGTGTCCCTGTCCCTATCCTTGTCCCCATCCCCATCTTCAACCCCACCATCTCTGTCCCCATCCTTGTCCCCATCCCATCCTTGTCCCCATCTTCAACCCCACCATCTCTGTCCCCATCCTTGTCCCCATCCCCATCTTCAACCCCATCATCTCTGTTCCCAACCCTGTCCCCATCCTTGTCCCCATCCCATCCTTGTCCCCATCTTCAGCCCCATCATCTCTGTCCGTGTCCCTGTCCCTATCCTTGTCCCCATCCCCATCTTCAACCCCACCATCTCTGTCCCCATCCTTGTCCCCATCCCATCCTTGTCCCCATCTTCAACCCCACCATCTCTGTCCCCATCCTTGTCCCCTTCCCCTTTCCCATCCCCATCCCATCCTTGTCCCCATCTTCAACCCCACCATCTCTGTCCCCATCCTTGTCCCCATCCCATCCTTGTCCCCATCTTCAGCCCCATCATCTCTGTCCGTGTCCCTGTCCCTATCCTTGTCCCCATCCCCATCTTCAACCCCACCATCTCTGTCCCCATCCTTGTCCCCATCCCATCCTTGTCCCCATCTTCAACCCCACCATCTCTGTCCCCATCCTTGTCCCCTTCCCCTTTCCCATCCCCATCCCATCCTTGTCCCCATCTTCAACCCCACCATCTCTGTCCCCATCCTTGTCCCCATCCCATCCTTGTCCCCATCTTCAGCCCCATCATCTCTGTCCGTGTCCCTGTCCCTATCCTTGTCCCCATCCCCATCTTCAACCCCACCATCTCTGTCCCCATCCTTGTCCCCATCCCATCCTTGTCCCCATCTTCAACCCCACCATCTCTGTCCCCATCCTTGTCCCCTTCCCCTTTCCCATCCCCATCCCATCCTTGTCCCCATCTTCAACCCCACCATCTCTGTCCCCATCCTTGTCCCCATCCCATCCTTGTCCCCATCTTCAGCCCCATCATCTCTGTCCGTGTCCCTGTCCCTATCCTTGTCCCCATCCCCATCTTCAACCCCACCATCTCTGTCCCCATCCTTGTCCCCATCCCATCCTTGTCCCCATCTTCAACCCCACCATCTCTGTCCCCATCCTTGTCCCCTTCCCCTTTCCCATCCCCATCCCATCCTTGTCCCCATCTTCAACCCCACCATCTCTGTCCCCATCCTTGTCCCCATCCCATCCTTGTCCCCATCTTCAGCCCCATCATCTCTGTCCGTGTCCCTGTCCCTATCCTTGTCCCCATCCCCATCTTCAACCCCACCATCTCTGTCCCCATCCTTGTCCCCATCCCATCCTTGTCCCCATCTTCAACCCCACCATCTCTGTCCCCATCCTTGTCCCCTTCCCCTTTCCCATCCCCATCCCATCCTTGTCCCCATCTTCAACCCCACCATCTCTGTCCCCATCCTTGTCCCCATCCCATCCTTGTCCCCATCTTCAGCCCCATCATCTCTGTCCGTGTCCCTGTCCCTATCCTTGTCCCCATCCCCATCTTCAACCCCACCATCTCTGTCCCCATCCTTGTCCCCATCCCATCCTTGTCCCCATCTTCAACCCCACCATCTCTGTCCCCATCCTTGTCCCCTTCCCCTTTCCCATCCCCATCCCATCCTTGTCCCCATCTTCAACCCCACCATCTCTGTCCCCATCCTTGTCCCCATCCCATCCTTGTCCCCATCTTCAGCCCCATCATCTCTGTCCGTGTCCCTGTCCCTATCCTTGTCCCCATCCCCATCTTCAACCCCACCATCTCTGTCCCCATCCTTGTCCCCATCCCATCCTTGTCCCCATCTTCAACCCCACCATCTCTGTCCCCATCCTTGTCCCCTTCCCCTTTCCCATCCCCATCCCATCCTTGTCCCCATCTTCAACCCCACCATCTCTGTCCCCATCCTTGTCCCCATCCCATCCTTGTCCCCATCTTCAGCCCCATCATCTCTGTCCGTGTCCCTGTCCCTATCCTTGTCCCCATCCCCATCTTCAACCCCACCATCTCTGTCCCCATCCTTGTCCCCATCCCATCCTTGTCCCCATCTTCAACCCCACCATCTCTGTCCCCATCCTTGTCCCCTTCCCCTTTCCCATCCCCATCCCATCCTTGTCCCCATCTTCAACCCCACCATCTCTGTCCCCATCCTTGTCCCCATCCCATCCTTGTCCCCATCTTCAGCCCCATCATCTCTGTCCGTGTCCCTGTCCCTATCCTTGTCCCCATCCCCATCTTCAACCCCACCATCTCTGTCCCCATCCTTGTCCCCATCCCATCCTTGTCCCCATCTTCAACCCCACCATCTCTGTCCCCATCCTTGTCCCCTTCCCCTTTCCCATCCCCATCCCATCCTTGTCCCCATCTTCAACCCCACCATCTCTGTCCCCATCCTTGTCCCCATCCCATCCTTGTCCCCATCTTCAGCCCCATCATCTCTGTCCGTGTCCCTGTCCCTATCCTTGTCCCCATCCCCATCTTCAACCCCACCATCTCTGTCCCCATCCTTGTCCCCATCCCATCCTTGTCCCCATCTTCAACCCCACCATCTCTGTCCCCATCCTTGTCCCCTTCCCCTTTCCCATCCCCATCCCATCCTTGTCCCCATCTTCAACCCCACCATCTCTGTCCCCATCCTTGTCCCCATCCCATCCTTGTCCCCATCTTCAGCCCCATCATCTCTGTCCGTGTCCCTGTCCCTATCCTTGTCCCCATCCCCATCTTCAACCCCACCATCTCTGTCCCCATCCTTGTCCCCATCCCATCCTTGTCCCCATCTTCAACCCCACCATCTCTGTCCCCATCCTTGTCCCCTTCCCCTTTCCCATCCCCATCCCATCCTTGTCCCCATCTTCAACCCCACCATCTCTGTCCCCATCCTTGTCCCCATCCCATCCTTGTCCCCATCTTCAGCCCCATCATCTCTGTCCGTGTCCCTGTCCCTATCCTTGTCCCCATCCCCATCTTCAACCCCACCATCTCTGTCCCCATCCTTGTCCCCATCCCATCCTTGTCCCCATCTTCAACCCCACCATCTCTGTCCCCATCCTTGTCCCCTTCCCCTTTCCCATCCCCATCCCATCCTTGTCCCCATCTTCAACCCCACCATCTCTGTCCCCATCCTTGTCCCCATCCCATCCTTGTCCCCATCTTCAGCCCCATCATCTCTGTCCGTGTCCCTGTCCCTATCCTTGTCCCCATCCCCATCTTCAACCCCACCATCTCTGTCCCCATCCTTGTCCCCATCCCATCCTTGTCCCCATCTTCAACCCCACCATCTCTGTCCCCATCCTTGTCCCCTTCCCCTTTCCCATCCCCATCCCATCCTTGTCCCCATCTTCAACCCCACCATCTCTGTCCCCATCCTTGTCCCCATCCCATCCTTGTCCCCATCTTCAGCCCCATCATCTCTGTCCGTGTCCCTGTCCCTATCCTTGTCCCCATCCCCATCTTCAACCCCACCATCTCTGTCCCCATCCTTGTCCCCATCCCATCCTTGTCCCCATCTTCAACCCCACCATCTCTGTCCCCATCCTTGTCCCCTTCCCCTTTCCCATCCCCATCCCATCCTTGTCCCCATCTTCAACCCCACCATCTCTGTCCCCATCCTTGTCCCCATCCCATCCTTGTCCCCATCTTCAGCCCCATCATCTCTGTCCGTGTCCCTGTCCCTATCCTTGTCCCCATCCCCATCTTCAACCCCACCATCTCTGTCCCCATCCTTGTCCCCATCCCATCCTTGTCCCCATCTTCAACCCCACCATCTCTGTCCCCATCCTTGTCCCCTTCCCCTTTCCCATCCCCATCCCATCCTTGTCCCCATCTTCAACCCCACCATCTCTGTCCCCATCCTTGTCCCCATCCCATCCTTGTCCCCATCTTCAGCCCCATCATCTCTGTCCGTGTCCCTGTCCCTATCCTTGTCCCCATCCCCATCTTCAACCCCACCATCTCTGTCCCCATCCTTGTCCCCATCCCATCCTTGTCCCCATCTTCAACCCCACCATCTCTGTCCCCATCCTTGTCCCCTTCCCCTTTCCCATCCCCATCCCATCCTTGTCCCCATCTTCAACCCCACCATCACTGTGGGGCCCCTAAACCCTGTTGTGGGGCCCTGGGCACCCTAAAACCCCACTGTGGGGCCCCTACACCCTGCTGTGGGGCCCTGGGCACCCCAAAACCCCGCTGTGGGGCTCTGGACACCCCCAAAACCCCACTGTGGGGCCCCTAAACGCTGCTGTGAGACCCCTAAACCCTGCTGTGGGACCCTGGGCACCCCCAAAACCCCACTGTGGGGCCCTGGCATCCCCGAAA